GTGTGCGTGTGTGTGTCTATGGACTTGGCAGTCAATTCCTCCTGTGAGTGTTCCAGTATTGCTTTGGACAGCAGTTTTCTAAAAGGCCTTTCAGGAGGCTCACAAGTGATTGTGCTTGGTCAAGTGAACTGGCCTCGACTGGCAGCTACGCTAAGCAAAATAGGTGTCGTGTTGTGCGACGCCCCGGATGCTTCAGCTGTCGACCATCTTACTCGATTGAGCGTTTTGGACCGGGGGCAAAACAGTGACACTTTCACTGCAGTCGATTTATGGCACATGAAAAACCGGAAGGAGTGGCCCCTCCGACCCTGAAGAATCCACCGGGGCCTGTTTGTTGTGCTTAAGTCAAATATGTGGGAGACAGAAAACCGAGCTTTAGGCCGAACCAAGCTCTGCTGGATTCTTACCGCCATTTTGTCCGTCTGTTCTGAAACCAGGTCTTGACTTGTGCATCTGTCATCTTCAGGGCCTTGGCCAAGGTGGCGCGCTCGGCCGACGCCAGGTACTTCTGCCGGTGGAAGCGTTTCTCCAGCTCGCAGATCTGCACCCGGCTGAAAGAGGTGCGAGGCTTTTTCCTCTTGGGCGGCGTCCGGTTCTGGTAAGGGTGGCCGATGCGACGGGTCACGGAGAAAGGCGAGAGGGCAGCTGAAAAACAGGTGGAGGAAACAGAGGATTTATTATAATAATATATAGTTTGTTTAGTTATTCATTAAACACTGTGTATGTGGTGGGTTAGAGCTTTAAACATCATTCACATACGTTGGTATTATCAATAAGGTCACTGTAAGTAATTGAGGTGTTTGGACCTAAAAGGTTTGAGATTAATGTTCGTTCTTGTTCGCGGTTATTTCCATTTCTACACTGCAATGATCTGTGCCTCTGAAGAATGAACTTATTTCCCCTGAGCCTTTCTTTGTAAACGCTCCTGTTATAAACATCCTTTCGTCTTCCAGCCCTTGTTTGGATAAAATTATTGTCCAGTTCGTCTTAATTCTGGAAAAGCCAGCAGTGGTTTGTTCGTAAGAGAGGAAGGGAAATGTGATTACAGCAACAAATCTGCTGCCAGAGTCCGAGAAGCGAACAGAACAATGAATTGTACAGTCAGGACGTCAAAGGAAAAGACGAGAGGGACGTTTCTAAAGCTGGAATATCTAAGATTAGTTCAACTCAGAGTCAGACATTTGCCTTCAGCTGCTGATAAATCGACCTTTTGTACTTTAAGATCATTAATAAACGAGAGGGATGCACTCATAAATCATGTGTGACACAAATGGGTGAGGTGAGGGAGGTGGTTGTTGGGGGGAAAGGGGAGCGGGGGGTGACTCACCTGGGCAAGCCCCCTTTGGGAAAGGATAGTCTGCTAGAAGGCCATTGCCGTCTCGCAGGTGAGCGAGCTCGGGGTAATAGCATTTAGCTAACGTCTCCACAGTGCTCCAGACAGGGACCCTGCCGATGTCTCCCTTGGGGAGATGACAGAGGGACCCGGCGGCCCCCGGCCCCCCTGTGGCCTCTCCGACTCGGCTCTCCTCTGCCTGCTCCCCTAAAGGAAAGGGACACATAGTAAGGTCCCGCATCTGGAGCACAGCAGCAGCAGCAGCGGCCGCCACCGCCACCGCCGCCGGGCAGGCACCGACGCTAAGCAGCTAATCACATGAAGAGCGGCCTGAATGATGAACAGAGTCTGCTTTAATGTTATTTACCGCTGGTCTCTTAAGTTAGCATTTGGAGAGGTTATGCTACAAAATGAGATATCGTCCATTCGGAAGAATAAGTGACAAGTGCAGGGTTAGAAAGATGAATAATCAGAAACAGGCAGTGAGGGTCATCTGATGACAAAGTGATGAAGGTCAAAACATGATTTAAACCTCTGAAAACAACGTCAGTAAGAATATCACAGACTTTCATCCTAACAACGTAAACAGGGAGGATTCAATTCACACATACAACGTCAAACATTTGTTATTAAAGCTACGATCCTGCACTAACGAACCTCCACATGTATTATGAGACATCGTCCATTTTGAAAAATAAGTGACAACTAGCACGTGTACAAACATGAGTCAAGCGAATACAAGTCGACCAATCAGAAACAGGCAATGAGGGTCATCTGATGACGATGTGATGAAGGTCAGAACACGATTTAAAAGCCGCTGCAATGATATTAAAAGAAAGTCCATTTTTGTAATTCAGGAGGAATTAAATTCAAACATATTCAATTTTTGCACAAAATATCTCAAACACAACATCAAACATTAGTTATTAAAATGTGCAGCAACAATCAGGATAATTCCTGATCTTATTTAACGATTGCTGTTTTGTCATTTTGCCTTTTCAAACCTTTCATTGCTCACAGACACAGGATGAATCCACATTTATTGTGTTCTTCTCTCTGAGCCTCGCTGCCCGGTGGTTCACTTTCACATATCACTGTATCTGGTGTATTAATAACAACTTATCTCCTGCATCATAAAATATCTATGAATCCTGTCTATTTTGTCAGCCATGGGTAAACAGAAGATCGATAAATGTAACGAGATCGTTTTTGGCCATAGATCCACTCCCCCGGCCACATGCTCAATTTGAAGCAGAATGGAAATCAACAACCGGGGGGAAAAGAAAACCAAAAGAAAAAACTGTTTCCCTCTGCCTCTGTGTATCTTTGTGTCGTTCCTCCCCAGCAGGTTGTCGAGCCTGCTGTCTTACAGGGTGTTGATTTGTTTTTGTTTTGTCAGAGAAGCTCACCAGGAGCCAAAATGAATATGAAAACATCTGCATAGGTGTCCCCCCCGAGGGCCACGTGCTGCTGCCGCCGCCGCCGCTGCTCTCGGAGTTTCAGCTGCCTGAAAATTCATTTGCCACGACGACGACGACAATTTGGATGGAAAATGGAACACAAGGCTATTATGCGCTCGGCGGTCGTTTCCAGGGAGCCGCCGACATCCCCTGATGGTGCTGAACACGAGCGGCAAATTGAGGCGTACGCAAGCAAATGATTTGTGTAGTAAAGACAAATAGCTGCAATGTACCGTTTACAGTAGAGGTCACATTACGTCATCTGACTGGAAATGAGCAGATTGACCTTTTATTGTCTCATTGTTTTTATTCATCTCCTAATGTTGGATGTCAATACAACGATCTGCATTTATGTTTGTGGATGAGCATCAATGAAAACATATATTTTACACAATAAATAAAACATGTGTGTTAAAAATATGTTAATTTTCTACATCAATCTATATTCAACTGTAAAATATCAAACCTTATTTACATTTCTTTGTCTCAGGAATCTTTGCCTATATTTGTAGGAACATATCGGCCAAATTAATCAGTATTGGTCATCTTCACTCCCTAATATCAGTATCGGCACTGGCCCCAAAAAAATCCACATCAGGCTTGAATCTATATTTACTCAGTAGTTTATATATCGTGACAACAATTCTATAACTGCAGCTCCTCTACAGCCCTCGATCGTGACCTTACTGCTCTGCACGTTTTTAAATGTCCTGCTCAGATTCTTGTGGTGACCTCTCTATGGCGTTCCTGTCATGCAATATATCATATTATATTATATATATATACATTTAAACACAGTCATAGTTATTTTGGGATGACTTCTCATTGCCTCAAAAACTACGTGCAGCCTCACGGGTTCCATGCTGAAAGCCAGCAGGCCTGCTGCGGCTCCCAGCGGCAGGTCGAGTGGAATAAGTACTGCATTACATGGCTATTTCAGGCCATCTGCAGGCTGACTAATGGACCAGAGGCAGCATGCGGCAGGAACCTGCAGCTGCAGCAACGCTTCACTATGTGTGCAAAACACTGATCGATATGGGATCCGGAGGATGGTACGGATACTGCACCAGTCACGTTTAATGTTGTGACTCGAGGTGTAAGACCGAGACTGTCCATTCATGAATCATGCATCAGATTTATTTCTTGCCATTATTACTGTAAACCGCTGTTTTTGTACACACACACATATATATATATATATATATAGAGAGAGAGAGAGAGAGAGAGAGAACAATGATGTAAACACTTGATTTTAAAGCAGCAAATTAAAACACTGCTCCTACATCAGATAAGATGAAGCAACATGACTCATAATGAAATACTATATTCTTATAATTCATCATATTCCTGCATATGTATTGTAATTGTATTTACATACTTTGTGTTTGGGCCTTTTCAAAAACAGATATCGTCCATTTGTCCCGACATCAGTAATTGAACAACGTGAATCATAATAAAATATTATGTTCTTGTATTCTTGTATTATTGTGTCACACTCCCACATAAAGGACTCTTCTGTCTTTATAACAATAATATCCAGGCAATATATTATTAGAAGTATAATAAAATACTACAATATTAAAGGTACTGAGGAGAATTAAGGCCACACGACCGAAACACAAAAAAAGGTCAGACCTCTTTGAATTTGATATTAAAAGTCTGCATTAAAATATCACAGGCAGTTTCTGAAGCAAATGTTTCATCGCAATGATGATAAATGACATATTGTTCCTGCAGAGACTAAATCCAACTAAATCAAGAAACTACTTCTTACATCAGCCCTGAGTATTTTCCATACAATCCTATAATGAAATAACACGTAAACCTTTTTCTTGATTATTAACAGTTTTCCTGAGCAGCCTGGAAACAGTCAAACAGCTCTGAAGGAGACATCCACAGACCACCGGTCAATTTAATGTGTTTAAATGAAAAATAAAGAAGAAAAAACTGCTCAAAAATGCTGCAGATAAAACCAGAGATCACCTGAGTTTCTCTTCACCTCCACGAATCGAAGAGGAGAAAAGTGCTGTAATACTAAATCTGCTGGCTGGATAATACAATTTAACATAAGCATATCAAAAAAAATAAAATGCCACCGTGGAGAATATGTTTCCCATAATAAAACCACTTATACTTAATAACACTTCTCGGTGACAGCGCCTCCTTTCCCCTCTGCGGATATTACCTCGGTAGCAATCTAATAAATATATCCGTGAAGGATTCTAAAGGGGATATTGAAATATAACATGAACATATATTGCTATTTATTACACTATACGGGACACACAGGCGGGCACGAGCAGTGTGGTGTCACAGCAGGGGAGCAGGGGCACGTGCAGGCGCGAGGGCACGAGCGGAAATAAAATCCAGTTTTTCTGCTCCGACGCCATAAAAACTCAAACTGAGATTTACTGCGCAAAACTACAGCTTTAATTATGTTTTTATCGCCGCTGCGCGACATGATGCCGAGATTATTACATTAAAGTTTGACATTATCCTCATCATTATTAAACTATAATGATATAAACTATATTATTATTATTATTATTATGGTTATTGTCACTATCATTATTATTATAATCGTTATTCATGGTACGAGTATTTGTTTAAATTCTAGCTGAGTGTAATTTAAAATAGCCTGTCACTATATTTACTAATGGCCTGTCTGATATAACTTATATTATAGGAATATATTTGATCACTTATAAATACGTGCTTGTCTTCATCATTATTTGTATTTAATTTGCATTTTATGAAAATGTTGTTTTTGGTTTTTTTTTTAAATGTAAATTGTAAATCATAATAAAACAGATATCATCTCTCTCTTTTTACTGTTTTGAATTTTTTTACTTTTTGTTTCATTTCATTCAAAATCCTCACCGAGCACAGAGCAGTGCAAATTACACTACGGACGATTTTAAATGATTATAACTGTCATGATAAACTCCAAAGTGAATAAAGTCACGTTTATTTATCTTTAAATCACGGAGTGCAAATGTGGCAACAAATCAATTAAGTAATAATCCTTTAATTCATATTTTACTTTAATGTTTTTAGGTGATCAGTTGCGATAAATATTTTAAATGTTGGCAGCTTACTCGGTTCTCCAGTGCTGTATAATATTACTACTTCTATTACTACTACTATAATAATAATAATCACAATAATAATCATCATAGTAACCATAATCATAATTAGCAGCAACGTCTGGGATAATAATACATAAAATACAAATGAAATTCATAATTTAACTCCATGCGTAAAAACAGAGGGGGGTTCCTGAACATGAGCTGTGTGGACATATTTCTAGTTGCGGATTAAAGTGATGCCATTAACGCCAAATCTCAATCCTCCGATCTATAACATGAACTCGGGGCCACGAGGAGAAGAGAGGAGAAGAGAGGAGAAGAGAGGAGAAGAGAGGAGAAGAGCAGGTTTACATTCCTGCAGAACAAAAACAAAAACACGTCCATGTTTTTCTGAGATTCTCTAGAAACGTGTTTGTTCATAATCCTCCTCTGGTTTCATGACGGAGAGAAAAACAAGAAGCAGAGAGAAACGTTTCGAATGTTCCTCTGACCATCAGGACAGATGAGAGTCGATTTGATTTAAGGCCTTTTATAGAAAACAGAGCAGGCTAATTCTGGACTGAGTGTGTGTGTGTGTGTGTGTGTGTGTGTGTGTGTGTGTGTGTGTGTGTGTGAGCTGCAGATCTCTGGCTGATCAATACAGTGGAAAGATATAAGCTGCGAAATAATTACAGCGACACAAAGCTGAGAGAAATTAAACGAGAGGCCCTCGGTGACTATGAGTAAAATTGATAAGCCTATTTACACTGGATCTTTTTGCAGTTGACATATCGTCCCCCAGTATTTAATAATTAATCGCTTAGAAGGAACGGAATAGTGAATATTTAATGTGTACAGAGGGTGGGGGAGGAGTGTGTGTGTGTATGTGTGTGTGAAGTTTGAAGTGTGTGTGAGGTAGTGTGTGTATGTGGGGTAGAGTGTGTATGTAAAGTGTGTGTGGTAGAGTGTGTATGTGCATCTTCAAAACGATGAGGTCATGAGAATAAAAAGCTGTGGACCTTCTCCTCCTCCAAATATGAAAAAAACTAACAAATAAAACAAAAAGTTGTGTTCTGATTTTTTTTAAAAAAAGACAGAACTTAATAATGTGTGTGTGTGTGATGACACTGAACTCTGTCTTCGTGTGAACTGATGCATTCAAACAGAGATGTGAGGAGGTTACGTTGCCAGGGACAACAGCTGGAAATGTGCATTTGGGGCTTTTGGGTCACAATTTCAAATGATTATGAATCCGTATGAAGATCAATGTGTTCTGTCCCTGTGCGAACAGACACGCGATCTAAGAATGATCTGTTCTCATCTGTAGTTTGTCTGTTTATTTGGTTTTACAGCAAAGATACAAACGCACATGGATAATAATAATTCATAAAAAATGCCATGAATGAGTTTATATGAAACATTATGCCAGTAACTGATGAAAGTGGGACAATGGGGCGCAGATTACAGACGACAGTGAGAAGAGATGTAACCATGCATATTTGAGTTTTTATGTTTATTTCTAATTCGTCTTGTTTTTGTTATTTCTGTCCATAAAAAGAGAATAAAATAACCTTAAGGTGGCTAAATTTAAAGGAATTAAATTAAGTTGTTTTATATTTTTTTTCATTTCCTGTTAGTATTGTTTGTTTACTAATTATTCTTTAACGATGTCTCTTTGCCACTGTAACACACGCAAATTTCCCCGTAGTGGGACTAATAAAGGATCATCTGATCTTGTCGATAGATTAAACTTTACAGATTTAAGTGAACTGCTGAGTCACACTAATGAACGATGCTTAACTGAGAAACTACATGGATTCACAAACAGCTGATTTATTATGCATGCCAGTGCACGCTGGTAATAGACTAATCCAGACCCTAGTTACTTCCATTACAAGGTTATCGCTCAACCATTATGAACCCCATCAGAATTTAATTCTGAGTAAATGCTGTTTACCTCACTTGGCCTATCAGTGCACTGTTGTTGTCAAGTAGGGGGCACAATTGACTTAAGATCACACAAAACTGCTTACTCTCATTATAATGTAATCAATAGTTAATTACCAGTGAAGTGATGTGGGACGTCTGGGCCTGTAACCCTTTCCCTTCCACCAGGACCCCTGCCTCCTGCTCCTCTTTTGATTAATGGCCCCGTGGAGTTCAGTAGATCAGGATTTAATCTAGTAAATGTATTATATGTTGTGATACAAAGAAGCGAGTGCTGGAAAGACTCTCGGCAAGTAAAGTAAAAGAGAAAAAACCCCTCAAATCTGAAACACAAACTGATGTAAGAAAAAAAGTGCCTTTCAAAGTATCTTGGACGAATTTGTTCTGGAGCTGCAGACTGAACTGAATATGAGAATTTCACTTAAACCTGAACCTTAATAATTCAGTGAATAGGTTCGACTGTGGCTGACGAGGTACAAAGGATCGTCCACTAACCAGGCGGTCAGTGGTTTGATCCCCAGCTCCACCAGTACACACAAGATACTAAATCCCAAATTGCTTATGACGGTGATAGAAGAAATGCAACATACAGTAGTGCTGTATGAATGTCTGTGGTTTTTGGCGTAAAGCACTTTGAGGGGTCGCTTGGTTTAAACACAATTAAACAACAATGCATAGAACTTTATTCATTAACATTAATATGCAACATTTACAAAACAAACCTTAGGAACAGTGATTGTCAAGCATTAGTTAGTAAACATGTTTTTTTCTGAGAGNATAATAGACTTGACATTTGCTGTCACAGTTATGACTCATCTTCCTTTTTCTCGATTGCTTCACAGAAGAAAAAAAATCATTCATCCTCATGGAAAAAAAAACCAGGGGAACGTCGTTATCCGTCATCTGCTGTAAATGGAGAGTGATGGCCCAATACTGATTCATCAGCATGTCCATGTCAATTTCTGCACTCGTTCATCAGGCTGCCCTCCCAGCTTAATAAAACTGACTCTGTTGTGTGTGTGTTTGTGTGTTTGTGCACGAAGGATTCGTTATAGATTACAAACCCTAAATATGAAATCACCACGCTCCGGTCTGTTCAGGGCCCAAGTTCACCTCAACCGTCCAGGAGCCAGATTTAAAAAGCAAATGTCAGGAGGATGAAAACATATCAAGAATTAAACCTGCTCTGTCACGAGGAACGTTTCATTTTAATCTTTCATCGTCGTTCTAATCCGTGCGTAATTTGTGCGTAAAATGAATGAAGGTGCACGAGGTTACTCCTCTGGCCAACATCTGTATTAAAGACAAACACTGATCATGCAGCTGCTGCAGGAAACTTTCACTGTACCTGTTAATCTGTCCTTGGCGAACCTCCGACTGCTCTCCATCCACGGGAAGGTGAAGTTCGCCGCATTCCCCATCCCCATCCCGGGCACCGAGGGGATGCCGGGTCCGATGCCCGGCGGATGCCCTGAGGGGGGCGGATGCGGCGCAGCGGCGACGGAGGGCGGCGGCGGCGGCATGGGTCTGTGCGCCGGCACCCGGATCACCCCACCGGCGCCACCGCCCGAGTTCACGTTAACGTTCATGTTCATGTTCATGCTGACGTTCATGTTCATGTTGACGTTGTAGGAGCCGGCCAGACCCGCCGCCGCCGCCATGGAGCAGGCCGGGTTGTAGACGCTGTTGTACCCGTTGCTGTAGACGTTGGGGGCCAGCGCGTAATCCGGGTCGCCGTTGGTCCGGTTGGGCAGCATGCAGCCGCTGGACTGGTCCGAGCTGTTGAGGATCTGGTCGATCCCGAAGCTGATGGGCTCATGCTGCTGCTGGTGCGTCTGGTTCACCTCCTCGATCCCGGTGTGCTCCATAGTTCTGTCGGTTTACGCGCGTGTCAGTATATTCACAGATGTGTTTTTTGTAATCTGGCAATTCACGCCTTGGGGGGAAAAGAAATCACTGTTTGTGTGTTTGCGGCAGAACTGTGCTGTCGTTTCTGTTTTCAAGCATCGAACACAGGCCTCTTCTACTCCCAGGAAACCAATAACGAGTCCGGCGCGATCCAAAATCTGCCCATTACTTCTGTCCAGCAGCGGCATCGGGTGTTCCCTAAATTAAATGCCTGTCCGTCGGGCTAAAAAAGAGCGTATCCATCTTTCACAGCGCGTTCTGTCCCCGTGAACTACACACAAGGAAACCTAACAACAAGGAGGAAAAACAACAGAGGATTATCCGGAGTACTTACAGACAACAATCATCCCTGGGTTGGGTTTTTTTTTTTTTTGGAGAGGGGACGCAGTTCTCTGGAGAGACTCTCGCTTTGTTCGCCTGCTCTGGCTGAGACCATCCATGCGCAGGGGGCACGGCAGGATGCCCGCGGGCTCGTCGCGTCAGGGTGAAGCGGGAGACTAAACGCGAACACGCCGCGAGAAGCTGGGAGACGCAGCGCTGACCTCGCAGGGCTGGATGTTAATTGGAGGTGAGAGCGAACGAGGGGCTGAGCTGTGCTGAATGGAGGAGCGCGATTCAGCAGGTGAGACAACCCTCTGCGTAAAAGCTGCCATTCGGTCATCCAGCCAAACCTCCCTCCCTCCCTCTCCCTCTCTCTCTCTCCCTCCCTCCCTCCCTGCTGGTAGGACAGTTGTTTTGCTCTGATGTCTTAAAGAAACAGCAGCTCCCCCCCCCTCGTTCGTTTCTCCAGCTTTTCCTGAGGTTTCGAACCTTTTAGTGGCTCTGAGGCCTGAGTCCAATCTTTTTATAAACCCTTTCACCTCAATGCATTTTCATGGTTATCGAGAAATCTCACTTTCACATCAATTTTGGTCTCATGTCGAAATTGTAAATTCATTAAAGTTGTATGTTTATGGGCTTCATGCTTTATTAATGGATTATTACCACTAATGTACACGAGACCTGGCTTCTGTCTTTTGCTGTTGAATTATTATGAAGAGATATTGACTCTGTATGAAAAACCGATGAGCATTCACTCACTGACCATTGAGAAAACTCATCATTCAAGAAAATATATATGTATAATGATTATAAGGAATTAATAAATTATATATATATATACATACTGTTTAACACTAAAATAACGTGGTTTCATTTATGCAGGACAATTTACTTAAAACATAGTAAACTAATTTACACCATTGTAACATATTTATCATTATTATTATTAGTAGTAGTAGTAGTAGTAGGATGAGGAGTAGTAGCATAGTAGTATTAGTATTAGTGTTATTATATTTATTATGATTGTTGTTATTACAATTATTAGTAGTATTAGTAGTAGACATAGTAGTACTATTATATTTATTATGAATGTTGTTATTACTATTACTATTATTATTATTAGTAGTAGTAGTAGTAGCAGTAGTTAGTATTAGTATTTATTTTGTAATTATTATTTTTATTATTATTGGTAATTATTATTAGTGTTATTATATTTATTCTGATTGTTGTTTTTACAAGTATTATTAGTATTAGTACTAGACGTAGTAGTATTAGTATTATTATATTCATTATGATTGTTGTTATTACTGTTATTATTATTATCAGTAGTAGTAATGGTAGTAGTAGTAGTAGCAGTAGTAGAAGTAGTAGTAGTGGTATTAGTATTATTAGTGTTATTCTATTTATTCCAATTATTATTATCAGTAGTAGTAATGGTAGTTGTAGTAATAGTAGTAGTAGAAGTAGTAGTAGTGGTAGTAGTATTATTAGTGTTATTCTATTTATTCCAATTATTATTATCAGTAGTAGTAATAGTAGTAGTAGTAATAGTAGTAGTAGAAGTAGTAGTAGCAGTATGTTGTATTTAGCCAGTTTCATTGATATCACTTGAAGTACATGATTAATTATAATATGTGTCAGATGTTTATTTTATTCTCCATCTGGTCTGACTCTCACTGACTTTCTGTTTTCTTGTGTTGTTGTCGTTTCTTGTTTTTTTTGGTGCGTAAAACATTTTGGATCATAACTCCAGTTTGGTGTTTGGGTCAAAGCTTTCACGCGGAGGCCTCTGGAGAACCCTCCACTTGATGAGCTTCGGTTTGGGATCTCTCTGCCGCAGAGGATCCAGCAGCTCGGAGGTTTGGTTCAGAGCCTGACAGCAGGTGAGACTCCTGAAAGCAGCAGTGAAGCCCACTTTCTGCGCAATTAAAGCATGCCACACATTCACCCTGCGCATCAGGGGCCCCCACGGAACTCGTTCAAGGAGGCCCCCGGAGTTTCCTGGCACCGGAGACCACGCACCGATATTTGGGATGGAGACGAAAATAAGGCGAGATGCATCAGATCCAGCGGGAGGACGAACGGTGTCCTCTTATTCCTGAAGGAGAGTTACGTCAGTAGTGCAGTGCAGATCATACCAGACACGATCCATGCGTGCGTATGCGCGCCAGGCTCAATAAACTGTTGCACTGTTACGCGCAATGAAGCAATAAATCCAGTGATATTGGCGGAAACATTGCAGCGTATATATATATAGGCCTGATTTAACCCCACTGATTTTACTGATAGATAGATGCATGGATGGATGGATGGATGGATGGATGGATGGATGGATGGATGGATGGATAATTAAACAGATGGATATCCACTGGATTCAGATCCAGATGTGAACCACGGATTGTTTAACCTCTTCGCGCCCGGAGCGACGACGCGCGTCGGCGGGGTCTCAATTCAATAAAGGTGAAAAATGGCTCATAATAAAAGCGCGACACGGGGAAAAACGAATTTAATATATCACCGTTTTATTACGCACTTATTTCACTTTCTGTGCGAATAAAGATATCTCTCAACTGCACGAGGTGGCTAGAGGGAAGCATAAAAATCAATTGTGTGAATTCAGGGCCATATCAATAACGGTGCGGGGACGGGAGTGTGCGCGGCTGCTATTAAGGCCTGTTTATATTTGCGCGTTGCAGTGAAATGAATAGGGACGAGAGGACGCGCCGAGCCGCGGATCAGTTTACTGACAACGTAATTGGCCGTTTATGCAAAACCGTGAAGATGTACGAGCAGGAAGCAGAGAAATAACGCGAGAGAGGCTCTGCAGGGCAACACGTCCCATATCCACTGTAACCAGTTTACACCAGGACAGACAGGGAGCACACACCAGCAACACATGTGCACATATTACATGTATGTGTCTAATATGTTCTGTCATGTTCCACAATCAGTTTTTATTTCTGCTCTTGGAACTTTGTGGTTAAGTTTGAAAAAGTGCTATAAAAAAATTAAAATGTGATTATTCGATTTGTTTTTATAAATGAATGTGGATCTGGTCACAGCTGTCTCCATTGGTTTTCAATATGACGAGTTTTATTTTTATGTTTTACTTTACTTTCAGTTCATTATTACTATTTTAAATATTTCAAAGTGTGAACAGTTTAAATCGACGTTATGTATGTGAATAATTGTCGTGAGCTGCAGCTTCAAACCAGCTGTACAGGTAAAAGCAGGTAAAGTGTTTAATATGTTTAAATACAAATACTTTAAGAGATGTGAAAGTTAAATATCTAACAGAATGATAATGTGTCTTTACCAGTTTTTTACAACAACAGTTAGTTTTTATTAGTATTTTAGATTTGATTCATTTGCTGTTTCAGGTTATTTCTTACATTTGACCAAACATAGACAGACACAGGTTTTTAAGGTTGAAAGAAAACACACACACACACAAATCCCAAATAATCCACCTGTGATAAATCCTGAACTCTAGTTTTTTACACATTACACAACATGTGATTTTTCTTTAAATATCTCTGTTGAATTTTGGTATAAACTGAAAATATCTCTTCCAGGTCACACCACATGTTGAGGCCCTGCATGTGCACGATGGGAGGCTCTCTGGCAGCATGTTGTTAAACTGTAAACCTCCAATCATCAGGAGCAAAACCACACTTGTCTTTATCGAGACTGACAAGCGGAGCTGCAACTCACTGACTCGCAGAGTTTCTCGTTTCATTATTCTCAACAGTTCAGGACGATCACAGTGATGAGCCTCCACCAGCTTCTGTTATCCTGAAGCATCAGGGAATTAAAATTAGTTTGGAGGAGTTATCTGATTTCTAATGTGCGGCCTCCTTCACTGAATCTATAACCCTTTTCTTTTTCCACACACAGTGCAGTTTGGAGTTTTGGTGAAAATAATGTTCAATTAATTCAGTTTCTGATCAGAAAATAATCCCATTGTTCAATAATTTCAAATCAGATCCCAATTTAGTCACATAATAATCAGCTAAAATATGATTTAAACGCCTTTTACACCAGATGCACTTCTTAAACGCACACACACATCACTGTGATGAGAGAAACAGAATAATGAAGACCACTCTGTTTGTACCACCACACTTCCTCTCGCTCTAAACGCTTGTTGAAGTGTCTTCATTAGCTTTTTGCTCTGTTTCCCCACATCCCTCTGTCTGCTGCTGCTGCTGCAATCACCCACTTCTCCCATCAGGATCATTAAGATTTTATCTGATGAGCTATAGCTGCAGAATGTAAGAGGATTTCAATTCGTTGTAGTTTTTAAATAAAGATCTCTGACTAACTCCGGGCTGCCACAATAAAGCTGGTTATAATAACAGACCAACGAGAGGTCCATCCACACTGTATGTGCACGATTTAAATGCAAACAGGACACGAGGCTGTGCTGGATCGTAATCAGCAATTTTACTAATGCAATAAAAAGCCATTGCCAATTAAGGAAGAAGAGGGGGTACACACACACCCACCCACCCACACACACACACTCTCTCTCTCTCTCTCAATATGAAAGCCCCTCGCTGATTTTGCCCAAAGGCATTGTCTATGGTTGCCGGCTGTGCGTGATGAATCGTTATCTCCAGGCAACGCTGCTCGTCTGGGTAATAAAGTACCAGCAAAGCGGGGACAAAAGGAATTTGTCACAGTTGCCTCCTCGATATATTAGTGACCTGCCGGTCGGTTTAGCTTTCATTTGGGGCGAGGGGGGTGAAGATGGGGAGGGGAGGGGGGGAGGGGGGGGGAGCCTGCACACCAGATTAAAATGAAAAAAACAAAAATGAAAGAGGAGAAAATGGAAAGGTGCGAATGTAAAGTTAAGTAATGAGCCAGGAGAGGCTCGGTTCAGAGGCAATTTCAAAACAAAAAGAAGTGTACAGAACTCCTGCAGGGCCGACAAATTCATCACACTGCTTCTACAAAGGCCCAACATCCAGTTCTCCACCATCTAATACACAGTAAATGGTCGCGCAGAGCTATTGGCTGTTTGGATCAGTTTTACGCACACTTTTACGCATGGCCAATAAGAACTGTGACTATAGGCTGCAGTTAATTAATTAAAGACAACTGTAATTAATCAAACACATAATCTTGTTTATTAGTAATTTCTTCACTAGTTTATTGGCCAATGTTCACAGGATGTTTATGTTATGCTAAAGATTAATGTTTTAAATGTTTAATGTAAAATTACTTTAAATATTAAAGATTATTAAAAGATAAAATGTTTACATGGTCTTACACAGTTGTGTGTATATATATTTTAAATCATAGCGGTTGGAGAGCTGGATTGTTTCGTCAAAAGTAAATACCAC